CTATTCCTTTGATGAGTTCGGCGTCGACACGGTTGAAGGCCGATGCGGGAAGTGCGGAAGCAGAAGGCACACTGCAGGTTCATGCAACGTGGACGTCAGTAAGATCAGATGCTTTCGATGTGGGAAAGCAGGACATGTCATTTACAATTGCACTGCACGCCCGGAAAATGGAAAAGGAAAGGGCGGTGAGAAAGGCAAATCTGGAATTGTGAAATCTGACATGTGGGACAAGAAAGGTTCCAAAGGTGTAAAAGGCTCTAAAGGTAGCAAAGGAAAAGGAAAGAAAGGTAAGTTGAATGAAGTTTCAGAGGATTGGACCGACTGGACTGCTGAAAGTTGGGACGATGATGACTATTGGTGGAATGACCAATGGCTGGAGAGCTGTGATGGTCAATGGGGAGTTTCGCAGACTTGGTGGGACGATGGTTCTGGATGGTATTGCGACGGGTATGGATATGCCTGGCAACAGGAACCAGTCCAAAGTGCGGACATGAGTGTAAGCCACGACAATAGGTCTGATGTCCAAAAGACTGGCAGTGTCGGCAGCATGATCATAAATCCTTTGTTGTATGACATGACATGTGAAACCACTGGAGGTCTTAGGTTTGTGCATGAGCATGAGGTTGCTGACATGGAAACCGAGAATAGGCTTGTGGTTGATTGCAAAGACTTTGAAAGTGAACTGGCTGACACGGGTTGTGTGCTGGCAAGAGGTTGCGACAGCTGTACTCGTGAGTCAGAGTATAGTGAACTGGCTGACATGGGTTGTGTGCTGGCAAAGAGTTGCGACAGCTGTACTCATGAGTCAGAAGAAGAAGATATTGAACTGGCTGACACGGGTTGTGTGCTGTCAAGGAGTTGCGACAGCTGTACTCGTGCTGGCAAGAGGTTGCGACAGCTGTACTCATGAGTCAGAGTTGTCAGAAGATGAACTGGCTGACACGGGTTGTGTGCTGGCAAGAGGTTGCGACAGCTGTACTCGTGAGTCGGAAGGATTGAAAAGTGAAACGGCTGACATGGGTTGTGTGCTGGCAGGGAGCTGCGACAGCTGTACTCATGAGCCATGGTTTTATGGTTTGAAGTGTGGAGATGAAGTTGGACTTGGTGATAGCTCCAACTTGGAAACACGTTTTGTTAATGACCCCAGCCGAGACTTGTGTGCCACTGTACCGATGAAAGTCGTTTTGGTGCGTGCACATGACTGGTTTGATGACCACAGTGAAGTTTCGGTTGAACAACAGATTGAACCTTATTTTAAGTTTTTACGACCTTTGCTTTCACAGGTCGCTGACAACACCGATGCTTCTTGGTGGCTTCTTGACTCTGGTGCATCTACAAGTGTTTTGGCTGAGTCGAACTTGTCAGCCTTAAGGTCAGTGCTGCAGGACAGTGAGGGATTAGGTGGCTACCGAGCTGCCAATGGATCCTCAGTCAACATGTCAGGCACTGCTGAGATTGGAGTACAGATGCACATGTCAGGCACATCAGGTGATGATTGGTGTTGGAAGAAAGCACGTTTGAATGTTTTGGTGGGTTCCATCCGGCACAACATTTTGTCAATCACTTCATTGGCAGATTCGGGATGGAGATTCACACAAGGTCCAAAAGGTTTTGATTTGTTCCATGAGAAGCTTGGAATGCATTGTCTTGACGTTGCTTATTTTGCCAATTGTCCTTGGGTTCGTTTGTATCCCGATGTTGGTAGTAGTAGTGCATACAGGTCTGACTTGACTGTGAGTGATACTCGTGACTTTTCTGTCGCAGCTGTGTCTGGAGGAGACGACAGTGAACTGGCACGTCACCGGAGACAGGGACATATTCCATTCAATCCGAACTGCTTGGAATGTGCCAAAGGTCGTTCTGTTTTTCAGCACAGAAGAGACAAAGGTGACAGGAAAGAGGTTTCAATTCAGGTTGATTTTGCATTTCTCAACACAACAGGCGAGATCGTTGCAGACGAACTTCCAGGTTCAGTGAAGATCCTTGTGTTGTCTGAGATGATGTCGAGGTGCATTGGCTATGTGGTGGTTGGAGAAGATGTCGAAGCAGCCAGGAGACAGATTGTCGTATGGCTTCAACATTTTGGCTTGACTTCGAAGGCAGTCTCCATTGATATCCACACCGATAGCGAAAGGGCCGTGGGAGAGATCATTGGAAATTCCACTGGTCGATTCACGTTCGCTATTCGCCGAGCCGCGCCGCAACAACATCGATCAATTGGGTCGGCTGAGCGAGCAGTTAGGGAATTAAAGGAATCCTTTTCTGTGTTAAGGGCTGATCTGAATGCACAAGGGTTGGATGTCATGTTCTCACATGAAAATTTGGTTGATGTCTTAACGTACTTGGCTTTGTGTAACAACCATTTTTCGACGTCAAGGGGTTCAGACAGAAGTCCATTGGAAATGGTCTCGGGTAGGAAATTATCCAAACCAGTTTGCACTCTGTTTGGTGCTCAGGTTTTGGCAGAGATTCCTGATTCAATTCGGCAGCATTCACCACTTTCAACAAGAAATGTTGAGTGTACTTTCATTCACATGGGATTGGAACGAGGTCCAGTTGTGCAGGGTCTCATTCGTGTGGATGGCAAAGCTGAGTTGATGCGTTTTGTAACTAGGAACATCAGGGCTATTTCACCTTTGAGATGGGATTTGAATTCGGGACAGGGTGTTTTGGCACAGTTTGACACTGGGACTGTAGGTAGTAGACCCCAAATTGTGAATGACAGTGGGACTGCACCCGCTGACATGAGTCAGCTACCTCCTGAAGAGTTGCGGAAGTTGAAAGGTCAGAGTTTGCCGGCACCTTCACAGCCCAAACTTGTCTTGCCAGAGTCCAGCAGTGTGAAGAAGAAATCTGGTGAGTTGCGTTTGGCGCCAGCAGTGCCATTGGCAAGATCGAACGTTGCCGTGACTCCACAGGAAGTTCCAGCAGAGCCGTCTCGAGTTTCTGTTACTACTCCATCTCCTACGTCACCAGCAGATACTGCAGATGTAGCCATTGGTAGTCCTGAGAGTTCTGAAAGGACTTCACCTGACACAGCACGTTTTGAACCGACACGTCGATGTCCAGCCTGTGAGAGTGGCATGGAAGCACCTGGTATTGGGCACAACAAGGCATGCAGGAAACGTTTTTCAGAGTTTGAGGAACAACGGAGAAATGAAAGACGTGTTGAACCTGAACTCTCTCCGGAGAGCCATGTTGTTGTGCCCCAGGCTCAGGTACCAGTGCAAGAGGTTGATGATGATGAAATGGTATCTACACCTGAGTCCGCTCGGCGACAGCCAGAAACACAGGTTGAATACACCAGAAGGTTTAAAAGAAAAGCTGAGACCGACCGAGAACAGTTGGAGCGAGAGATCCGTGAAGATTCGGAAGAATTGCTTCAAACAAACATGGATTTTGATTGGTTTTGGATTGGTAGTGGTGAACCTGTGTTGGTTGCGAGTTTGGGAACACTTGAAGGTCCAGCGTCTTTTGCTCCTGCAACATCTCCAGAAATGTTCTCTGGTTCTCTTGGCTCTGTTTGTTTCAATCGAGGCAAGGAACATGATTTTGTGAAGATGCGTCTTGGAGGTCAGGATGTTTTGGTTTGGAAACCAGATAGCATCATAGATGATCAGAGTTTGCAAGAGCTTGACTTGGAACAAGGTTTCAAAGGTATGCAAGAGGAGGTTAGGAACTTGGAACACTGCAAGACTGGCCGCATCATCACCCAATCAGAACTGGACGATATGAAGAAGGCTGTTCCGAACCTTCGTTTGATCCAGTCGAGGTGGGTTGCAGCTTATAAAAGCAGTGAGAGGGTTCGAACCAGGATTGTTGCAAAGGACTTCAATCGTGGCTCCTCAGCTAGATCTTTGGGATTTAGCAGTCCGACTCCTTCGATTGAAAGTGTTCATTTGGTGCTTGCAATGGCAGCGACACGGAAGATGCTTTTGCGTGCATTGGACGTGAGCCATGCCTTCATGCATAGCCCATTAGGAACTGGTGTACATGTTGTCTTGAAGATGCCGTTGTCGATTAGCTTTCCATCAGGTGAAGCGACCTACTATTTGCTTGAAAAGGCATTGAATGGGTTACGTGATGCTTCACTGGCATGGTTGCAGCTGTTGACATTTACGGTTGAACATGTAGGCCTTTGGTCAGATTCGTTGGAACCATGTGTGTATGGTGGACAGATCGTGAAAGATGGTCATGAAATTGGGTTTTGTTTGTGTGTTGTGTACGTTGATGACATCTTGTTGTTGTCGACCACTAAGGAGGCCGAGGAACATGTGGTTGCAACTTTGTCGTCTGTAGTGCCTGTGAAGACAACTGGAGAGATCGGAGAAGAGGGAGGATCCCTGACCTTTATTGGTCGTGTCATCAAGAGAGAAAGAGATTCCTCTGAGATCACTCTGGGTGTCGATCCACATTATCTTGACTCTACGTTTCTGGATTATGGAGTTACCCGTGGGTCTGAGAATGTTCCTGACATCTCAGGACATCTTGAGAAGACACTCACGGATAGCAACTTTCAGAAACCTTTGTCAGATGAAGCATACTCACGCTTCAGGAAAGCGTTGGGAAAATTGCTGCTTAGGCGTGCCTCAGTTGTTTGTCTGCAGGGGTGGGGCTGGCATTGCGTGTGCGTGTGTGTGCCGGGTTGGTCCTTGGTTTGCTTGTTGGTTGGTCTGTTGCGATCGCCTGCAAATACGTCGCATGTTCGTTGCGTGGATGAGTTTCTTGAACCCAAACTTGGATGCAACAAGACAACCAAACAAATCAATGCAGTTGAATTCTTCGAGGTTATTTAATTTGCGATTTCGTCACTTTGAATTTCGTTGCTCACCTTTTTCAGTGCAAGATGTTTGAAATTTTGTCACCTGCTTTATTTACAACAGTCTTCGAGTTCCACCGGAAGCTGAAATTCATGGACATAATTTGAAAAGGATTCACTTGGGAGAACTGGCTCAAAGGCAGAAATTTTGCTGGTCTTAGACTAGGGACTTACAGCGCGCATGGATGACTGGACTGAACTGGATAGGATTGATGCTTCTTTGGTAAAGGCATTGAAGCCTTGTTTTCCAACTGCATTACAAGTTGCAACTGCATTTGATGATCTGGAGGGTGCGAGACACCTGGTCGAGGATGCACTGGGAAATAGCTATGGTGTGGCCCGCCGGGAGGCCATTGCGCAGGCATTGTTCGACTGGCAAGCAACCTCTCACCGTAGATTGAAGAGGATGCAGTTGTTTGGTGTCAGGGATAGGCTTGAATTTGGGAAGCAGTTGGATCAGTCTGGTCTGGTGTCAACGATGGCAGATAACTATGAGAGCATTGTTACAGGTAGTCCCACTTTGGGCTTGGCAGCGTTGGAAAGTCGTTTGGCTAAGAGGGCAAAAACGAGCAGCACTGCAAGGTCAGATGAAGATGCAGAGGAATTAGCGAAGAAGAAATGGGCTTTGGTCTTGGCTGAGTTTATCACTGAATCAAAACTTCCTGCTGTGACTTCTTTCAATGGTTTGGCAAATGTCAACACGGCATGGGTGAGAGCATTTGGTGCGCGGCGGTCAAAGACACTGCGCAATCGTGCAAAGGCTTGGAAGCGTGTCAGGGACTGGTTCGTGGTTACAACAGGCAAACCATGGCCTGAAAGTGTGGCACAGCTGATTCAGTATCTTGAGGAGCGTAATGAGGTGCAGCCAATGGGTAAGACGGTTCCCATGTCCATACATACCACATTGTCGTTGCTTGAGTTGGTGGGGCAGGTGCCCACGGAACATAGGCTTTCTGGAGATCGGTTGTGGCTGGAGACAGTGAAAGCCTGGACAGCAGAGCTCAGCCGTGATGCACCGCCAAAGAGACAGGCGGACTTGTACACAGTAGCAATCGAGATGAGCTCAGAGTTGGTTTTGGATAATCTCACCGCACCGATTGGACAGAGGTTTTATTCATTTGTGCTTTTGCTTTTGCTCTGGGGAACGATGCGTTGTGATGATTTACAGAACGTCGATCCATCCTCACTGGAACTTTCACAGCTGGGCCTCAAGTTCGTTTTGCGCCGGACTAAGACTAGTGGACCTGGCAAGCCTGTAGGGGAGTTACACGGTTTCATTGCACGTGAGGTCAGTTTGACTGGTGTGGACTGGTTGAAATTGGGCATGGATCTTTTAGAAGATGATGAAGTGAGTTTTCAGAGGGATTTCTTTGCAGTTTCATTTTCAGATGATTGGATGAAATCAGGGCCGAATTTCTTGGAACCTGAAGGATTGGCGACCATGTTGAGGAGGCTTCTCCTTGTTTTACCGACGGTGGTGCGACGTGGTGGCGGCCTGGCACTCAACCATGGTAATTTGTTGATTTCACCAGAGATGGCTTCATTTTGGACTGGACACAGTGCACGACATACATTGCCGTCTTGGGCTGCAGCAGCACAAATCCCAAAGGAGAGTCGTGACTATCTTGGTAGGTGGAGTTATTCTAAGCATGGCTCTCAAGATTATGTTTTGACGTCAAGACAAGTTGTTCATCGGGTCCAAAAAGATGTTTGCCGTTTCCTGCTTGAAGGAACCCCTTCACCAGGTTTAGTCGAGGAGGAGCTCATGGAACGGGTCAAGGCCTTTGCAGTAAGGGTCAATGCAGGACCCATTACAACTGCACGTAGGCACAATGTCATGGTTTGGTCATTGAATTTAGGAGCTTGGCACCTGGGAGGAACCTTTCCTTTGTTGGAGGTAGGGCCAGTTGCTGCGAGAATGGAGAACGCTCCAACTCAGGGAGAGCCGGATCCTCAAAATGATGATAGCTTGCCAGAAGCACCTTATTTCATCACCATTTCTCGAAAGACATTTTTTCGACGCTTGCATGTTTCAAAGTCATGTGCAGTGCGTCAGGAACGTTGTCTTGTCACTCAACCTGTTTACAGCATTACTGGTGATGTAGCTGACGCAGTTTGCAAGTTGTGCAAACCAAAGTTGAAGGGTGAAGAAGAAGCGTCGTCAAGCTCAGACAGTTCCGACTCAAGTGACTGAAGGCAAAGCATTCAGCATATGTTTCATTTGCACACTTGTTCCGCAAAAGTGGAAAACTTGCTGCGCAGTTCAGTGGTGCCGAGTTGTGTTTTGGATGTTTGGAGGTAGGTTCAGGTTTTGTGTTTTCAGTTTGCATTTTCAGATTGAAGTCGAGCGCACTCATATCATGTTAGAAATTGCACAGACAAGCCTGGAGAAAAGACCAGGAATGACATGAAGTTAAGTTGATCAGTTTGGAAAATTTTGAGAAACAGTTTCAAGACGCGTGGGAAGAAGTATGAGATTCCCAGCGCTGTGTAGGCTCAGAAAGCTGAGAGACTTAGCAGCCATGAATGCACCGGCAGGGATAACAGAGGCTGACATGAAGGCCTACCTCCATGACCGGGTGGAAGGCGATTTGGCCTTCATACTGCAGGAGAACGGAGTGCCACTTGCACTGCAATAATTTGACTCAAGTCTTCACGCAACTTAGACGCTTCAGTGCAATTGCAGATACAAGGCAAGGTGTCAGACAGGCACTACGTGATGATTTGCAGGTCGAAGTGAGTAACTTGCAGAATCGTGCAGCCGTAGCTGGAGTGGTAGCTGCTTGGGAGGCCTCTAAGGAGTATGCATCAAAACAAGCAGAGTTGAAGGCCGAGGCACGTCTCTTGGGCGTCACGCGGCCTGTCACCCAGACAGATCGAGCGGCAATGAGAGCAGCATATGTAGCAACCCATGGTGAAATTGAAGAGACTTTTGAGCCTTCGGATGATTACTTGTCAACGAAGATCGAGGAGTTGGAAGCTCACGAACCTATGGCTTCCTATCTGACCGAAGTAACCAGTAAAAAGACTGCAAAGACAATGGGCATTCAGACAACTCTGGATAGTGCAGGTCATGTGAGAATTGTCAAGAGCAGACAGAAGGGTCAGCTCCCGCAGGGCACTGAGGAACTCCGCACCATCCTCAGAGTTGAAGGCAATACATGGTGTTACCTTGCTGCCAAGTACCGCAACAATCCGATGATGCAAGGGCTCACACCTGATGACTGGATGAAGTACACCAACTACCTGCTAGGTGACAAGTGCTATCTTTTGAAAATTCCAGGACCAGGTGCAGCAGCGGGGAGCTCAGAGATGGTCACATTGCGACCACCTTGGAGCGTGATGTTGTCATATGAATACGAACTACGCAAGGAGGCCATCAAGAGGGCATTTAGACAGGGTAGAGCCTTGAGAGAATGTTTGGAAGAGGTGTGCTCAGATGCACAACTCAAAGAGCAGTACTTCACAAGTCCCATTGCCTTGCAAGGGAGGTCAGGCAGATCTGAGGAGCCTTCATTGGGAGGCAACCGCAGTTGGAGGAGGACTGAAGGGTCCAACTACCAAGGCCCGCCACAAAAGTGGCACAAGGGAGGTGGAAAGAAGGGCAACAAAGGAAAATCGAAACAGAAAACAGGCAAGGGAAACTCGGAGCACTCTTTGGTTTCATTTACAGATGACAACAAACAGATCTGCTTTGCATACAATGCGCAGGGATGCACAGGAGGTTGCAACCGTGTTCACATTTGCAGAGTTCGTGGATGCGGCAAATCGCATCCGATGTGGCAGCACTACCAGGGCATGATGCAGAAAGGAGCTGCGGAGGCACCACCGAACAAAACCTGACAAACGGACGAAGAGCTGCCAGTATTGCGAGTGGTGTATCTTTTTGCGGGCGCATCAAGGCGCGGTGACATTAGACAACAATTGCAACGGCTGGCCAAGGAACAGTTTCACCTTGAATTAAGAGAGCTTGATTTGGAACAGCATCATTTGTCAAAGACAAAGCTGTGGGACGATTTATATGCAGACATTGACCAGGGCAAAGTAGATGTGCTTTTGTGGTCACCGCCCTGCAACACTTTCAGCCGGGCGCGACATCATTTCAAGCATGGGGGACCCAGACCTCTGAGATCGTCGACATGGCCTTTGGGGTTTCCATGGCTGAGGTCAAGCGACCAAGAAGTGGCCCAAACGGCAAATTTCTTTATATTCCAATGTGCAGAAGCGGCAAGAAGAATGCATTTGCAAAGCAAATTTTACTGGTGTGAACACCCGGAGGATTTAGGGAAGACAGCGGCAGGGGATATCCCAGCCTCCATTTGGCAACTTCCATTGATCAGGGAGTTGGCAGAGTTGACATCAGCAGCTTCATGGGCGATACATCAATGCGTTTATGGGGCAAGCACTTCCAAACCCACGAGGCTGATGTCAAACCTACCCTCTTGCCAACAATATGGGCTACAATGGCCGGTGTTTGATGACAATGGTTTTTATGCAGGGCCATTGGGCCGATGTCCACATGAATTTCATGAACCCCTTTTGGGCTTCAACATTGAATTGCAACAATGGAAAACAGCTGGCTCAGCGGCCTACCCGGAGGCCCTGTGTGAGGCTATAGCTTTGGATGTGGTGTCAGCGTTGCCACTTTGCATGGCGATGCAGGGGGAACATGCTTCAGCGGCATCGACTTCCTCTGCAACATTTCATGCCTCTCCTACGGATCATGCTACAGTGATGTCAGCAGAGACATCAACAGTGCAGGTTGGCCCTCATCCTTCACCATCTCCTTTTTCTTTCGGGGAAAACCCAACTCCAGCAATACCAATGGACGCAGCAGCAGCATCAGAGATAGTCATATCATCTGGAGATGAGCAACCAGGGAGCCCAGAGGACCTGGGACAGCAAGATGCAGAAACCTTTGACCCAGCAACTTCAGCTTGTTTTGGACAGCCTATTATTTGTAGGTATGAGAACTGCCACAGAGAATTTACAGACGGTTTTGGACTGTGCTCTCCGGGACGTTGGATGCCGGGTGCAAGAAACAAGTTGGCCAGTGAAGATGCGACAAACCATGCAGAACAGGTGGCATCTTTACTACTTGAATTTCTTACAGAAGAAATAGGAGACTTGCGTAAGGAAGCATTCAAGCTGGCTCTTGGTCATCACCTCAGCTCGCCCTTTGATCAGGACAAGCTACAGGGATTGAGGCGTAAGATAGCATCACTGTTGAGGCCAGGAGAGGAAGATACTTTGCTGTCTTGTCCGTACAGGCAACCGTTTTACCTTCATCTCCTGGCCGAGTCGTTATGCAAACTTGGGGATCCAGATTGGGAGATTTTGGTGCAGGGTGAAGAGTGTTTCTCAAAGGGAGTCCCTGTTGGAGTGGAACGTGAACTCCCACGGACACCCCAGGTCTTCAGAAAGCGGGAGAAGTTCAGACAATTGGACATCAGAGTTTCAGCCGGACATGAAAAACTATGCAACTGCAGAGATGTCCTCCGATCAACTTGAAGATCACTTCAGAAAAGACGAACAGCTTGGTAGGATGGTTCCTACAACTCTTGCCGAAGCAAAGCAGGAGTTTGGCGCAGATGCAGTCTTGGTTGCAGCAATGGGTGCTATCCAGAAGCCCGACAACACCATCAGACCTCTTCATGACGGGACCCATGGCATAAACCTGAACAACAAGATTCGCATACTTGATCGCCTGGAAGTTCCGGGCCCTGAGGAAGTGATTGAGCTTGTTGCCATGGCAGCGGAATCTAAGGAGTCGGCATTTTGTTTGTCAGCAGACATTGCACAGGCGCATAGATGTGTACTGATTAGGAAAGCAGACTGGGCCAGGCTGGCATGCAGATCCAGCGCTGAATCGCGCACACTTTGGTTGAATTGTGTGGGGACCTTTGGGGTCTCAAGTGCAGCTTATTGGTGGACTAGGCTATTTGGTTGCGTGGGAAGATGGGTCCTCCGAGTTCTGGGACGACGCTGGTCTATGCAGCTGGCCTACGTGGACGATCTTCACTTGCTATGCCTATAGGGCCTGATAAATTTGTCACCATGTGGTTGAGCATTCTGGCGTATGAGGTTATGGGAACCCCCTTTTCTTACAGGAAGTTCAAAGGGGGTCTTTCAGTGGACTATGTTGGGTACCATTTGGAATATGACAGACATGTGGCTGGTATCTCAACCAAGAGAGCCGAGTGGATCTTGCAGTGGATCGACACGTTGGAGCGGAACGGTTGGATGGTGCAGGGCCGGGCATTCATAGAATTCACTGGCAGACTATCCTTTGTGGCAAGGGTAGTAACGTGGTTGAAGCCATTCATGGCACCCCTCTTTGCTTGGTCCTCTGTTCTGGCAAGAGGCCCGTGATGCGGGTGCCCGTGCTGGTTTACGTCACTTTGAGGTTCTTGAAGGAACAACTTCAGAGACACGGGCACTGGGTTAATGCGACAGCTCCTTGTTTTTCGCCCAAAGAGGCTTTCAGAACAGATGCGAAGTGTGAAAGTGGCAGGATTGTTTTGGCTGGGTGGTCCACTGAGAATGGTGTGGAGAACCTTAAGTTGGCAAGATGGTTCAGCTTGGAAATTTTCCCGGAACAACTTCCGATGCTCTTCAAAGAAGATGGCGCATCACAGTGGTGCTCAACAGCGGCGGAGTTACTGGCCTCCTACGCTGCTTCTTTTGCGTTTGGACATTTGGAGAAGGGTGGTGGATCGAAGAACTTGAGGATGGCAATAACAGGTGGTACCGACAATAAATCCAATCAGGCTTTACAAGAAAAGAATATGTCAACGAAATGGCCTCTCTTGGCTGTTCATATGCAGGTGTCGTCACAGCTCTTGGCGAACGGTGTGCGCATGAGGCTTCGTTGGAGGCCGCGAGAAGAAAATGTTCCAGCAGACGCCATCACCAATGGCGACCATAGCTTGTTTGATGTGAAGAACCGGGTGGAGTTTTCTTTGGATGATTTACCGTTAAGTTTTTTCCGGGAGTTGTGTGCCTCCCGCAATGAGTTTATGAGTTTACGTGAAACACAGGTTGATGTGAAGCTAGCTGAAGGAAAACAGAGCAAAAGACAGAAGTTGGCCAACAAGACAGCGTGGTGATTGGGCATCAGTTTCTGAAGGAGGGGCAATGAGACAGATGCCCCATTTGAAATGCGTCACGACCAGTGACGACTTGCAGCAGGTGTTTCAGAGATGAATGTTTCAGAGACGAATGGAGAGAAATGCATAGAATTTTCTTCGAGATGTTTTCAATGCAATGCAATTTGCTGGACCTTTTCCAGCGTGCTTGGACTTGAGAGAGACCGCAATCAGACAGCGCAGGATGTCCAATCCCCCCTGGTCAAAAAAGAGTTGGTGCGAGTGGCTTTCGTTTTCATTCATTCAGTCAGATGCAGTTTGAGACTTGCACATGTTTATTTCAGATGTCGGTTTTTTGGAATGACAGTTTTTTCAGAAAAAGGCATTTTTCGGCAGTTTCAAATTTGGACAGTTGGTCGTTGGATGATCCATTGCGTTTAACTAACCTTGCACTCACACGCCCACGCTCACACGCCCTTTTGCCATTTCCCCCTCTGTAGACTACTTCTGGGGACCCCACCATGGAAGACAAGCTGCTTAGGCGTGCCTCAGTTGTTTGTCTGCAGGGGTGGGGCTGGCATTGCGTGTGCGTGTGTGTGCCGGGTTGGTCCTTGGTTTGCTTGTTGGTTGGTCTGTTGCGATCGCCTGCAAATACGTCGCATGTTCGTTGCGTGGATGAGTTTCTTGAACCCAAACTTGGATGCAACAAGACAACCAAACAAATCAATGCAGTTGAATTCTTCGAGGTTATTTAATTTGCGATTTCGTCACTTTGAATTTCGTTGCTCACCTTTTTCAGTGCAAGATGTTTGAAATTTTGTCACCTGCTTTATTTACAACAGTCTTCGAGTTCCACCGGAAGCTGAAATTCATGGACAATTTGAAAAGGATTCACTTGGGAGAACTGGCTCAAAGGCAGAAATTTTGCTGCCCACCCGCCCGCACCTGGGTGATGAATCAACTCCAACAATTTCGAGTTGATGTTACAACGGAGGAACACTTAGATCGCTACGAGCAACTGTTCGAGCTGCAGTTGACGAGCAGCATTTTTGGTATGGGCGAACGCCAAAACTTCATTTTCTTTAGCTTTCTTACAATACGGGACTTCTGCGTACTACGCAGTACATGCTTTGCTGTGGCCGTGGATCTCCACGATACTTTAGACGATTTGTCAGCAAACCATATCACTTGGCCTTACCGGGGCAATGAGACAGATGCCCCATTTGAAATGCGTCACGACCAGTGACGACTTGCAGCAGGTGTTTCAGAGATGAATGTTTCAGAGACGAATGGAGAGAAATGCATAGAATTTTCTTCGAGATGTTTTCAATGCAATGCAATTTGCTGGACCTTTTCCAGCGTGCTTGGACTTGAGAGAGACCGCAATCAGACAGCGCAGGATGTCCAATCCCCCCTGGTCAAAAAAGAGTTGGTGCGAGTGGCTTTCGTTTTCATTCATTCAGTCAGATGCAGTTTGAGACTTGCACATGTTTATTTCAGATGTCGGTTTTTTGGAATGACAGTTTTTTGAGAAAAAGGCATTTTTCGGCAGTTTCAAATTTGGACAGTTGGTCGTTGGATGATCCATTGCGTTTAACTAACCTTGCACTCACACGCCCACGCTCACACGCCCTTTTGCCATTTCCCCCTCTGTAGACTACTTCTGGGGACCCCACCATGGAAGACAAGCTTTGGTTGTCACAGGTGAGACATGACTTGAAAACATGGATGTCTGTTCTTGGAACACAGCAAGCGAAACCGATGCACGGGACTGAGCAAGCATTGAAAGCAGTCTTGAGATTCTTGTATGTTGACATGCATGCATGCTTGTGTTTACCGAGCAGAGATGAGACCATCATGAGTCAGGTTGACGATGCTCAACTGAGATCAGTCCATCTCCACTCTTTCAGCGATGCATCACATGCGCCGTATCGTTTCAACAACCGCAAAGGTGTTAGCGGTGGAGCTGTTTTCTTTGAGAGGTCTTTGGTAAGGTCTCTGAGCCGACAGCAGCAAGCTTTGAGCCTGAGTTCATGTGAAGCAGAACTCTATGGTTTGCAATCTGTGTGTCAAGAAAGTGTTGCGTTTGGAAGATTGGTTCATGGTCTTCTTTTTGCACTTCATGAGATTGACGAGCCAGAAGAAGTTGTAATCTGGTTGGAGAGCGATTCAAGCTCCGCATTGCAACTTGTGAGGTCCATGGACGTACCACGACGTTCGAGACACATTGAGATAAGATTGCATTGGTTACGAGAGCAGATGAGAGAAGGTTTGTTGAAATTGAGACACAGGAGTGGTGTTGAAAATCCAGCAGATCTTTTCACTAAATGCTTGAGTGCCAAAGCTTTCTACAAACACCGTTATGCTCTTGGGATTATTGTTCCAGATGGCTTGACAGCTGAGTTAGCAGAACTTCGTGAGCTGTGTGTGTTGCAGCAAGTGTTGACTCAGGGTTCTTCGATTGCGATTGTGGAACTGTGTTGTTCGGAACATTCGAACTTGAGAAAGGTTTGTGAAGTTTCAAAGGTCCCATACATTGGTGTAGTTGCTAAGGTGCAGAGTTCTGGTACTTTGAGTCGTGTAGCTGTTTGCATCCGACAGTGGAAGAACTCTTCGAGTCCGCCTTGGGTGCATATTCATGCATCGACTCCGTGTGGAAGTGGAAGTCCGCTTCGCAACTTCAATCCGAACTCAGTCACTGAGAAAGATCAGGAATGGGATGAGATCATCAATGCGATTGGTGGTTACTTTTAAACATGCAGACTCATGTTCGTTTGAGCTTCCAGAACGAAACGCCATTTGGTCCCGACCTGAGACAGTGAATCTTTTTGAGAGTTTTGACATGAGGCATGAGGCTTTAGTGAAGTTGTGCAAAACTGGATGTCAGAACAAGGATGGCATTCCGATTGGAAAGACATTGAAGTTTGTTTCCAATTCAGCTTGGTTTGCATTAAATCTTCACTCTAAACTTTCGACATGTACATGCCAGATTCATGCAGAACTGAACCAAATCAATTATACTGAAACAGCGTTTTACAACCGAAAGTTGGCAAGATATATTTTGATTGCGGTCAAACATGCTTCGAAGAAGAGTTGAATTTTCGTTTGAAAGGGGGACCCTGTGACAGAGAGAGAGACAGAAGTTGGTACCATGTTTCGTCACGTTTCATTTTCCTGTTTTTGCATTTTGTTTCAAACAAACGTTGCCAAAGACAAACAGGAGTTTTCACTGTATTGCAATTGTGCAGAGTTTTGTTACGCGATGCTGTAAGATGCAGTGCGCCGCGTACACGAAGCGCAGAACAATCTGAAAGGTCACTGATCCTATCACGAAGGTGATGGCGGTTTGAAACTTCGTTTCACGTTCTAGATTGATTGCTCCTAAGAGTTTAGCCACGGTCTGGTGCTTTTTCACTACCGGACGCGGTTTGATTTTGCAGCCATGGCATCATCCAATTGGAGCGTTGAGGATGAAGATGTTTCAGCAGTTGGCACAGCGTCGTACTTCTCAGATGCCTTTGCCGACAACTGAATCTAGTGGTGCAATGACCGATGCTTCAAAGCGCCGATTTGAAGAGGCTGACTTTGAGGGATCAGAATCAGACTGGGTGGTTGGAAGCAGTTTCATGGAGCCTGTGGGAGGCACCGAGGATTTGGCCACAAAGGCCTTGCTTCCAGCTGGCGTTACGAGTATGACAATGTGGGGAAAGACCAAGTTTGCATTTGGAAAGTATGAGAAAGAGAAGAAGAGTTACAAGATTGTCTTCGAGGAAGACTCCAGCTACGTTTCATGGTGTCGTAAACATTTGACCAAAGACTCAGCGAAGGGTCCAGCCTTGGATTGGTCAAGGTATATCAAGGCCCGAGATTTGGTGGACTGCAAAGCGGCTAATGTGCCATTCTATGCAGGAACTACTTTGCGTCGCGAGTTTTGTGATTGATGACACTGTGATGGTGGTTGGATCTTTACAGGATCTCATTCTATGTGGACAACTGTAGTTTGCAAGATTGTCGAACTGGATGAGTGGTCACTATGTAGCCCTTCGGCTAAGGGCACCTATATGTATTGGCCTGTCGAACTTGGGCGATATGTGCTGAAGTCTGGATGGGTTACAGCTATACATGGAATGGAGTTCATCTCAAAAGGGGGTGTGAAAAGTTAGGACATCTGTGGTGAGATGAATCCATTGGTCTTTTCTGCATTGGAAGAAGTGAATTTGTTTTTCACCTTGATGGTGAGATCATCCGTGATGGTTGTCATCGTATTTGCACGTTTCATATTCTGCACGTTTTATTGGAGATGACGAAACCCAACAACGATATACTTTTCGTCTTCTTTGAGTACTTTGATTGCACGGAGAACATCGTGAGGATTTGAATTTGTATAGTGACATGGAAAATCAAACCATTTTCCATATGTTTTGCTTTAGTTGTCGTCGACGAAGTGCACGAAGGAATCGTGAGAAGATCGTAGAATTCATTTTGTGACTTCGGAAGAAGGAACTTTGTTTGAGATTGATCGGAGAAGTTTTGTTTGTTTTGTCTCTCAATGATGATAGCGAGAGCAACGTTCTGAAAGTCATTCAGAACTTGGAGTTGCTGACAGATCTGAGGGAGACATCATGAACCACGTTTAGGTGCTTGAAATGTTTCAACAGTTTTCAAACACTCAAACTTATTTAAACAAACAAACCATGTCTTGATGTAAAGACTTTTTGTGAGGACATGTGTTTTTTGATCGCTTTTGTGAAGTTGACAGAAACATGTCAACTGGCGACTCCGCATCATTTTGTGTCAAGGCGTGACACACCAACAAGAACCATAGCGACATGAGCAAGACATTTCCTTCCTTGTTGCTTGTGTGTAAAAGTGGCTGAGCTCTGGGAGTAGTTGACTTGGTTGCGTGGACGGTCTTAGTGAGTTAAGGACGACGTCCTGGACGCTGACCCAAGGGTTTTCGAAGGTCTGTAACCTTCCGCACAGAGCCTTGGGCTGAGCCACCTGAGGGCGGTGGGGCTCCA